ACGGAGGCATAAAGATGATGAAGGTAGTGGAACATCTCCCTGATGAGGAAAGGCTGAGGGAGCTGGGTCTCTTTAGCTTGGAGGAGAGGAGACTGAGGGGCAACCTCATCAGTGTTTACAAATATGTTAAGGGCAAGTGTCTGGAGGATGGAACCAGGCTTTTTTCAGTGATGTCTAGTGATAGGACAAGGGGCAGTAGGTGGAAACTGGAACATAGGAGGTTCCACAAAAACCATCAGAAAAAACTTTTTTCTGTGAGAGTGCCAGAGCACTGGGACAGGCTGCCCAGAGAGGTTGTGGAGTCTCCTTCACTGGAGATATTTAAAACCCGCTTGGACACGTTCCTGTGTGATGTGCTCTGGGTGACTCTGCTCTGGCAGGGGGGGTTCGACTAGATGATCTTTCGAGGTCCCTTCCAACCCCTAGGATTCTGTGATAAGTTTTGAGCTTGTTTTGGCAGTCGTCTTCCCAGCAGAATAACCAGCTTTAGAAGCAGACAGCTCTCAAAACTAGTTAGGTAGGTGGCAACTGAAAGGAAAGATTAAGGTCATAAAGCTTGTTAGAAGTTCTTCTTGCTGTAGCTTGTGTAGTTGCTGAGTGATGCATGTTAGTAATAATACCCAGAAAGTCACAGTGTCACTTCATGCTCTCCAGAGAGTCAGTGGTTGCTGGTCAGTGTGGGTAAAAGCTCTGCCTCTTTGCCACAGAACAATGAGTGTCCCAGTTTGCAAGCTGTGATTCCTGAGATCTCTGTCTCTGGTGTTTAGTTCTGTCTGCCCCTACTTTCCTGCCTGATAGCTAGATGGCAGCTATCAGTGCCTAAACCAATCCACATTCACACAACATGGAAGTATGGAAAGGGAAACCTTAATTATGAAACCATTAGTCTTTCTTGACAGTTGTTTGCTTAGCTAATGTGTTTCTGTGTCTGGATGCAGGGCAGAAATTCATGATGTCCTGGAAGAATATAAAGGAGGAGCTGCAAAATTTATAGGTAAAGTGCATGTGTTTGCCTGTATGTCTGGAGAGGTAACGTGGATGGACCCTGCTGTATTTTTAGACAGTACCATAGATGTTTGCTCAAAGTGGTGCTAAGTGATACTTGAAACAGTATGCGTATGAAATGGTAATATGGCCAGAGATTGTCAAATGAGCTACAAAAATGTTGGATTTTGCTTTAGTTCTCCTTCTCTGCACCCAACCTTCTCGGGGCTTCAGCACTGACTGAGATGGGCTTAACCCAAAAATTGAGACTAGAAATGAGAGGTTTTGGTGTAGCCCCTAGTCAGTGCTGCAAATGAGTCTTGCCAAATGCAGTTTCTAACTTTTGAATTAGAAATTCTCATGAAAATGGCCTTCCCCATATAGCTGTCCAAATACTTCTGCTAAAGCTGGCTTGTTTGATTCTTACAAAGCAAGTGGTTTCATCTGATGATTTCTGACATGAAATCTTTGTCCAGTCTGGAAGAATAAACAGGTAAAGCACCTCACGTCAAATCAGTTTTAGCTGATGGACACTTCTGCCTCTGAGCTGCTTCTGTTATGAGAGGATGTTAGGTGGAGGACCCATGATTAGTTTGCAGGAGCTTTGACAAGCTAAAGAAGCAGATGGAGAAGCTGATTTTTCCTTGTCCGTTATTCCTGTCAGTTTAGCAGTCAGACTGGACTTGCTCCCTGTATTCTTCCATTTTTTCCTTGTTAAATAGTTTTAGGAATATACTCAACAGATAGTCAAATGCAGAATGGTCAGTGTGGCTGTCTGTAGCCCTTGGCTACCCTAAACTTTATCAGTCCCTGTGCTCCATTCTTGGAGTAGTTCCTGTACAAAATCTTTTTAACACCTTGCTGTTAAGAATCAGTAAAGCAGCAGTTCCTGTGTTTGTGGCTGTCCTGAGTGTTTCTCTGGTTGTCATAACAAATCAGTAAAGGGCTCACTGTGTGCAGAATGCAGCCAGGATAGCTGTTGTTGGGCTCATGTGGCAAAGGAACCTGAGTGCACAGTGAAAGCAGGTGCTTTCACTGGATATCATCTATCCATATGATAGTCTGTATTTGTGTCTGGGGAGGTAGCTCAGACAACTGGAGGGTGATCAGCCAAGTCAACAAGCTGCTTCTGTGGGGCGCTCTGTCTGCATAGCTCAGGCTACACTGGGTATAGGGTAAATCCTGTTGAAGTGATGGCATGTCTGTTTAATTTCTATAATTTACAGACAGTTCTTTATGTAAGGAATCTAATGGACTGCAAGAAAAAACACTTTTGAGATGCTAATACTTCTATTAAAATTAAGGCATTTTTATGACAGCAAATTATTATAATTTTAAAAACTGTTTTAGCATTTCAGTCCTTATAATTACACCAAGTTCTTAAAAAAACCCAACAAACAGATCAAGATTTTGGATGTGCATTTCCTTACATATGCAGCTTTATGGCTTAGATTTCCAAAGGCAGTTTGCACCCAACTCTCAGTAAACTTCAGTTGCCTTGGGACAACTTATTATTTCAAGAAAAACTGAAAATCATTTAACCTGAAACTCCTTGGAGTCTTCACCAATTTCAGTGATTATCTGTGAAGAGAAGACTGTTTATCATTTAGACACACTATCTACTTTTCTGTATGACATTTGAAACCTCCAGTCTGGCAGGAATGATAGATTTCTCATTTCTGTAGCTGATCTGTTCTCTCTCTATACATTGTCCTTTCTTAAAAGTTATAGACTTGAGACTGTTGCTCAGTTTAGATGATGTCAAATGTCAGATGTCTCCAGTGTATCAGTTGAGTGATCAAGTGAGTCAGCTGTTGGCTCTAGCAAATTTCAGTAGCAGGAGTATTAATCAAGAAAAAACATAAATAAAATCTCAGAGGAGCTGTGTGGTTTGCAGAACCAAAAGGTATTATCTGATGGTTTGCCCTGATGCTGTGCTCTCCTCCCAGCACCCAGTAAAGCTGAGGGAAAAGTCTGCCTTTGGTGCTGAGATCAAATTAACAATTTAATTATTACTATTTTTAATTTTTTTTCAAAGCAGATATTCTGTGTGTGAGTGAAAACCCTCTTT